AGACTATATGAGACCCTCTCTCAAAATAAATAAAAGTGCTTGCCACCAAGCCTGGTGACCTGAGTTCAATCCCCAGAACCCACATGGTGGAAGAAGAGAGCGATTCCTGGAAGTTGTTCTTTGCCTTCCACACATACACATAAATAAATGCAATTAAACATGTTTTAAATTTTTTATTTTATTTTTTAAAGACTGTAGCATCCAATATTTCTGGGTGGTCTCCCATCCAAGTACTAACCAAGGCCCAACCCTACTTAGCTTGTAAGATCAGACAAGGTAGGTTGTATTCAGGGTAGTATGGCCATAGACTTAATTAATTAATGAATACTTTTTATTTATTTTTATTTTGTGTATGAATGTAATGCCTGAATGTATGTAAGTGCACCCATGTTGTGCAATGCCTGCAGAAGTCAAAAGAAGGTGTCTGGAACTGGAGTTACAGGTGGTTGTTATCCACCATGTGGGTGCTGGGAATGGAACCTGGGTCCTCTGGAAGAGCAACCAGTGCTCTTAACTGAGTCATCTTTCCAGTGCCCTTGATTTATTATTATTATCATTATCATCATCATTATTATTAGTCTTATTGAGTCAGGGTCTCCCTATAGCCCCAGCTGGCCTAGAACTCACTATGTAGACCAGGCCGGCCTCGAACTCACAGTGATTCACCTGCCTCTGCCTCCTGAGTGCTGGGACTAAAGGCATGTGCCACCATGCCCAGCCACTTCATTTATTTTAAAACATTTTATATGTATGAGTGCTTTGTTTGCACACCTGTAAGTGCACCCATGTTATGCAATGCCTGTGAAGGCCAGAAAAGGGCATTGGATCCCCTACATCTCCACCCCTGAGTTATTTTATTTACTCAAAAATTTTGTGTTTAGGAGGGCTGGAGAGATGAGTCAGGTTAAGAGCTTAAGAGCACTGTCTACTCTTCCAAAGGACACAGGTTTGATTCCCAGCACCCACATGGCGGCTAACAACCATCTGTAACTCCAGTTCCAGGGGATCTGACGCCTTCTTCCAACTTCCAAGGGCATTGCATGACACCGGTGCATTTACATATATGCAAGCAAAATACTCATACACATAAAAATAAAAATAGCCAGGCGTGGTGGCGCATGCCTTTAATCCCAGCACTCAGGAGGCAGATGCAGGCGGATCTCTGTGAGTTCAAGGCCAGCCTGGTCTACATAGTGAGTTCCAGGACAGCTGGGGCTACAGGGGGACCCTGTCTCAAAAAGACTAACAAAACAAAACAAAAAAACCTCTCAGCGTGCTAAAATACATTAAATACTAGAAAGGAGAAAACACAGTGGGATCGGGTGATTAGGAGTGTGATTAGGAGTGTGGTATGAGAGGTGAGGGAGGCAGCAAGTGACTAGTTTTAAACAGGGCATTCAGGGTAAGCATTATGGTAACAGTTGAGCTAAGACTTGAAAGACGTGAGGGAGCTGACCAGGTAGCTATCTGGAAGAAGACCATTTTAGGCTAGGGGAGAAGCCAGTGCCAAGGTTCTGAGGCAGAAGTGTGCCTAGTGCATTCAAGGGGCATTAGAGAAGTCAGTGATAGAGCAGAGGCAGGGGATGAGGGAAGTGAAGGCTGGTGGGTCCTAGAGGCCAAGTGAGAGAGGCACAGAGCAGGAAGAAGAGCTGGAAGAATCTGCCAGGAGTCCTTCCTAGCAGGAGGACTGATCCCTGACCACTGGACTCAGAAAGACAGAGGTCACCGGAGACCTCCACAGAGCAGCTGTGGTGGCTACTGGGAGCCAACACCCGGCCACAAGGAGCTAATGGGAATACTGGAGTGCAGGTATTGGCTGCCGACTTCCCGACTTCCTTGTCTGTCTGCTGCAGCTGCTAGAAGGCCAGGGCCACCGCCATGCTCCTTGGGCCTCCACCACTGCTCCCTCCACTCTCTTCCCCGCCTTTCTTGCTGTTACGACATTTGTTTTCAGCTCCTAGAGTTACTTTGCTTAAAAGCCCGGATGGCTTGGCTGTCCCCTAGAACCCCGCTCCTATGCACCCTGAACTCTTGATTTGGTCCCAAGGGGTTTCAGGATATGATGTACAGTTACTCCCAGGAGCCCTCTGGGCTCATTTCTTACCTACTCACTGCTCTGTCCCAATAACATACTGGCTTCTCCTCTTGGTACATGGCAACTGGTCAATGACCCAAGTCAAGTCAAGAATTCAGTGATGTGGGTGGACAAAAGATGTTGGGGATAGCTCAATGGTAGAACATAGGCATAGGTCCTGGTTCAATTTCCAGGAGAAATGGAGATAGAGAAAGAGAGAGGCAGAGAAAGGAGAGGGAGAGAGGGAAAGGAGAGAGAGAGAGAGAGAGAGAGAGAGAAAGAGAGAGAGAGAGAGAAGAGAGAGAGAATGAGAATATCTGGAGATCTTTTATTTTTTGACAGGGTCTCCCTAGTCCCAGTCCACCTGGAAGTCACTGTGTGGACCAGGCTGACCTCAATCTTGCAGAGATCCACCTGCCTCTACCTCCCTAGAGCTGGGATTAAAAGCGCATGCCACCACACTCAGCATTAGAGCTCTTTTAATAGTTACAATGCTGGGCTCAGTGAATGAAAGTGCTTGTCACCAAGTCTGATGACCTGAATTCAATTGCCAGGACTCACACGGTGGAAGGAAGGAGAGAACTGACTCCTGCCAAGTTGTCTTCCGACCCCCACACATGGAATCTGCAGCCCTCCCCCCAAATGTACTAGATAAATAAATGTAATAAAATTCTTTAAAAGTTATGATGATGATGCTCGGGGCTGGAGAGATGGAGTTAAGAGCCCATACTGCTCTTGCAAAGGACCCAAGTTCAATTCCCAGGACCCATGTTTGACAGTTCACACTTGCCTGTAACTCCAGCTCCTGGGGATCAGACACCCTCTTTTGACCTCTGTGGGGGCATCTGCACTCACATGTACACACCCACAAACCGATACACATAAATTAAAAATAGAACAGGGGTGAGTTAAGAGCATTTGTTGCTTTTGCAGAGGACCTGAGTTTAGTTCCTAGTAACCACATTGGTGGCTAACAACCATCTAATTACTCCAGTTTCAGGGCACCCAACACCCTCTTTTTTTTTTTTTTTTTTTCGGTCTTTTTGAGACAGGGTCTCCCTGTAGCCAGCTGGCCTGGAACCCACTATGCAGACCCAGGCTGACCTCGGACTCACAGAGATCTGCCTGCCTCTGCCTCCCAAGTGCTGGGATTAAAGGCGCCCCCCCCCATACCCTCTTTTGACCTCCGAGCGCACTGCATGCACATGGTACACTTAAATCATGCAGGCAAACCACTCATACATAAAAAAACATAAAATTGCCAGGTAGAAAGCCAGGCATAGTGGCACACATCTTTAACCCCAGCACTCAGGAAGTAGAGGCAGGAGGATTTCTGTGAGATTGAGGCCAGCCTGGTCTACATAGGGAGTTCCAGGCCAGATGGGGTTACAGGGAGACCCTGTCTCAAAAATAAAATAATGTGACAGGATCTCATGTATCCCAGGCTAGCCTCAAACTCTCTATGTAGCCAAGGATGACCTTGAACTTCAGATCCTTCTGCCTGCACCTCTCATATGTTGGGATGACCCCCACGGGCCAGCACACCTGATTTATGCAGTGCTGGGGTTGGAACCCAGGGCTTCATACGTGGACTCTACTAACTGAGCTATACCTCCAACCCTCCTCATCTAGTTTGATACAATATAAACATCGTGGGTATGGGATGATCCTAAATTTCTTTTCTTAAAAAGCCAGAGCGGCAACTGAAGAGCCGATGTTCCTCACCAGGGGGCGTCTCTGGCTCTGCACCTGGAGGAATTTTTTTTCCACAGGGCCTCAGGCTCAGTAACTGATCCTAAGCAGGTTTCTGTCCTGAATGTCATCCCTCATTCACCCCAGAGGATGAGGTGAAAGGTACCTGAGGTGAGCATTAGAGTGAAGACCTAGGTGAGAGGGGAGGCAGAGTGGGGAGCGGATCACTGTGCGCCTGTAGGAAACACGCACTGCTAGGTTCTTTATTTGAAGCATCACCACCACTTGGCCTTCAAACTTCCCCACTTTACATAGAAGGAAACAGGTCTGATAAGAAATAATCATCCCAAAGAAGCACAGGTATCCTCAGGTGCCTGGCCAGGACCTCGCCACAGCCCTCTAGAGCAAGAGAAGGGAACTGCGGAGGGGCGAGGTGGGCGGAGGCTGCAGGGCCTGGGGCGGTTCTCTGGGGATTTAGGCTCGGGATGTGAGTGCAAACTTTTCAAGCTTGGAGGCCTTGTGGACCGGACCAGGAGGGAGAGCGACTAGGGGACGGCGCTATGGAATTAGGGCGGGTAGGGAGCGGAGCCTTCAGGGTGCGAGGGGCCTCGGGGGTGAAGCAGAAGACTGGGGGCGGGGCCCGGGAGTCCGGCCCGGGAAAGAGTTCTCCCGGACCGTGAACCTCGGAGGCGGGCCCGACAAGGAATGGGGGCGTGGCCAACGCATTCGCTACAAGGGGTCGGGGTGTGGCCGAAGAGTTAGGCCCGGCGGCTGGGGGCGTGGCCAGAGAACTAAGGCGCTGGGTCTAGGAGGAGGGGTTAGAGCAGGGACCCGGGGCCATGGCCTTGAGGGGGTTGGGGGTTAGGCTAGTGGACGGGGAAGTGACCTGGGAATTAGGTGAGTAGCCTGAGGGCGGAGCCTGGGAGTTAGGCGAGTGAACCAGAGGCGTGGTCTAGGAGTTAGGCAGCGTGGACTGAGGGCGGGGCCTGGGAGAGGGCTGAGGGCGGGGCCTGGGAGAGGGCCGAGGGCGGGGCTTTGGAGCAGGCTGAGGGCGGGGCCTGGGACTGGACTGAGGGAGGGGCCTGGGTTCAGGCTGAGGACCGCGCCTGGGACTAGACTGAGGGAGGGGTCTGGGTGCAGGTTGAGGGCGGGGCCTGAGGGCGGGCTGAGGGCGGGGCCTGGGAATTAGGCGGAATGGGATGAAGGCGGAGCTTAGGAGTTGGGCTAGGGGTCGGAGGTGTGACCGGGGAGTTAGGCGAGGGACGGGCCGCGAGGGCCGGGCTAAGTTGGGGTGCAAGTCTGGAAGGTCGGGGGCGGGGCGTGAGAGGCCTGGACCCGGACGGCGGCGGGTGGTGAGGCTGGCCCAGCGCAGCGCAGTGCAGCCAGTGCGGTGCAGCGCAGCGCCCCCCGCGCCTCTCTCCAGCAGCCCCGACTCCCCCGCCTCGCGCCCGCCATGCCGGAGCAGCTCAGCGTCGCCGAGTTCCTGGCAGTCACCGCGGAGGATCTCAGCTCCCCGGCTGGGGCAGCTGCCTTCGCCGCCAAGATGCCCCGGTGCCGGGGGGCGGCGCTGGCACGGGAGGAGGTGAGGGGCCGAGGCGGGAGGGGGCTCCTGTTTGCTCGGGACTTTTGCAGGCGAAGTTGCAGCGGGATGGCACTTTGCTGCGCCCCAGAAACCCGCCCCTCATAGATCTGTGGGAACCAGGCTCATCTCAAACATCTGTGTCCTCATGGTCGCGCCTAGAGAGACTGTGGGAGACTTCGAGGTCACCTGGTTACAGACTCCACATGTTGAGGCATATCCCCCAAATACTCTAGACGACCTGCTCGTCACATGTGTATTTGCTCAGCGGCATACAACTCTGTTTTCATCTTTAGAGCCCCACAAGCATACAACCCCCCATGTCACACCTTTTCTGAGAAGCAGACTCGTCCTGAACTTACCCCTCTCCCCAGCTGCAGGAGAGAGGAGGCCCCCCTCCTCCTGGCCGCTGATTCTGAGACTTGGCTGGCCTTGTGGAATGAATGCGAACGGGAAGGCGCCAGGAGCTGGGGTTCACCTTGGCTGTTGGCAAGTTTATAGGCTCCTCTCCCCTCCCCTTTCCTCTTTGTCTTTCCAGGCAAAGTGTCCCTGGCCTTTTCTTTCGCCCTTCCAGGCTGCCCCACCCCATTCCCATGCTCCCTGGAGTTCATTCCTCTTCTCTGAATTTGCTGAGGCTTTCCTCAGAAAGTATTCTGGGGCAGACACCCTGAGGCTTTGGGCCAAGGGGAATGTGACTGAAGCTCGATAACAGGATGCTCTGACTTGGGGTGGCATTTTGGACCTCAGCAGCACTCTGACCTCCCATCCTTCACATGACTGTGCTGCACACCTACTGTGTGGCAGATACAAAGCTTCCATAGTTACAAATACTCAGAGCTGAGGTCTTGGGAAATCTCCCTTTCTCCTCTCCCCTGGCTGGCTGGCCCTCCATCTCGGCTGTCTTTGTACGGATGTCACAGAATTGTACAAAGAGTATCAGTTTCAGGAGCCCTGCTAACCTGTGTTTGGACCCTGCTCTGTAATTTGCAAAGCTGGTGGACCTGGCTGTGTGATCTGACCTGTAGAATGGGGACAATCATATTTATCTCAGAGTTGTGGGTTGTGTGTAAAGTATGCATCTGTATAAGTGATTACTGTCAGGTTAATTGACATAGTGATTAGATAGTGATTAGCTCTTTGAGGCACACGGTAGGAATACTTTTTCGTTGTTGAGACCCTCTCAATATATAGCCCAAGCTGGACTCAAACTTGTGATTCTCCTGCTTCAACCCACCTACCTACTGCTGGTGTTCCAGGGGTGCACCAACACACCTTGGTCAGGAGTCCATGTTGTAATGAAGATGAGAAATGCTGAGGCTGGGATTGCCTCCCTGAGCAGAACCACCTACAAATGGGGGTATTTTACTGTCTACTGGCAGCTTACCAGGAAATACCGCCCCACAGCCCTGTCCTCAGGCTTGTCTTCATAGCTTTGCATTTTGTGGCCCTTCAGCATCTTCAGGGATTTTACCATTCACCACCTTCTGCAGGTTGTTCATTAGAGTCAGAGCAGAAGGGACCACTCTGAGCCCTTCTCTCTGGAGAGAAATGACTGTATGTGCCTGTGCGTCTGGCCTTGCCTCGCTGGCTGTGTGAGCACTTTGTTTTGGGAGACGAAAGGTGCTTCTAAGTCCAGTGGGCTTTGGTGGGAGTTCACATTTGCCCCCAGTTCAGACCAGATCCTTTTTGTCTTTAGATCTTTTTTGTGTGTGTGTCTTTTTGAGACAGGGTCTCCCTGTAACCCAGCTGTCCTGGAACTCACTATGTAGACTAGACTGGCCTTGAACTCACAGAGATCCACCTGCCTCAGACAAGACAAGCTACTCAGAAGATGCAGTTTGCTGTGAGCTATATTTTACAGTGAAAATTCTAAATTCTAGAGTAAAGAAGAATCGTTTTGTCATTGCACCCCCCCATAGTCAGAGTAATTTATACCTAATGCCAAAAAATTATTTATAATTATTCTGTGTATATACTCTCCATTTGCATATATGCAATTTTTTTTTTTTTTTGTCTTTTTGATACAGGGTCTCTCTGTAGCCCCAGCTGGTCTGGAACTCCCTATATGGACCAGGCTGGCCTTGAACCTGCAGTGCTGTGATTAAAGGCGTGCGACACCTCACCCAGCTGCAAGCATTCTTTTTTTCGACAGAAAAACTTGAGGTGCAAAACACAGCGTTTCTTGTCCAGCAAATCAGTGCCCCAAAAGTTAAGAGTCTGACTTTTGAATTAGCCTTTGCTGAGGTTTCCTAGTTGGTTTTACATTTGTGTCTTATCTTGTTATTATACTATGATTATATGTAGTTTGCTACTGGGATTTTTTTTTTTTTTTCCCCCTCCAGTTCTGGGCAGGACTAGCTCAACTCCAGACTTGAAATTCCAGCTGATTCTCAAATCAAAGCTTCCAGTTCCAGCTGGTTTTCTAAAAGTAATTAGAGACCCTGTCTTAGGATCTGCAGCTCTTTTTTGGCAGCTCTGCTGGGAAGGACCCTGGACAGGTCATGGGAGACTAGACTATCCAGGCTGAAGGACCTTTTAAGAGAGAAATCAGCTAGGAATTCTCTCATTTAAGATTAGAAAACCAATACACAGAGACAGCAAGCCACTGTCTAAATGTCCATGACTGAGGAATGGGACAACTGGCATTTCTCCCTCAAAGCCCACCTGCCTGCCATCCCTTTGGAACTTATCTAAACCTCAGTTATTTCATCATAAAAACCAGACTCACAATTCCTCCCTCCTTGCTTACTTCACCAGAGTAAGTTGCTAAGCTTTCTGTTTTTAATTGTGAATCTCTGTGCAGAGTGGGAGAATATTAAGATATCACTGCATCAGACAGCCTCTTCTTGTCCTGGCTTCTCTACAGCCATCGTCCCTCTCACGTTCACAGGGAGGGTGAGGCAGCTGCTCTGTGCTGCTCTGCTTGGTGGGTCTGGCTGGCTGCTGTGCTCTATGCCATTACTTATGTTATTTCTGTACTAGCATCAAGGGCATAAAGACGCCCCTTTGGTTTGCTGACTGGTCCATGCAGCCCACCTTAGTTAAGTAGGAATTATAAGTAGGAATGCCAGGAGCCGTCCTGAGTGTCCAGGGAAAGGCTCCATCGGGGGCTGGAGAGATGGCTCAGTGGTTAGGTGGGATGGCTTAGAGGTTAAATGCACTGAATGCTTTTCCAGAGAACCTGGGTTCAGTTCCCAGTACTTGGCATAGCAGCTAACCACCATCTGTAACTGCAGTTCCAAGGGATCCAGCACCCTCTTGTGGCTTCTGCATACGTTGCATACATGTGGTACACATATACATGCAGGCAAAACACTCATACACATAAAATAAACAAGAAAGATTCAGTCAGTGCTGTTAGCAGCGAAAGGAACACCAGTGAGGACCAGGGAAACAGGGAGGTGGGGAGGGCACTTCCTGGAGTAATACTGATCCTAAGAAGAAGATTGAAGGAATCCTATTTAGTGGAGAACACATGTGAGTGAATTCAGGGACTGGTGGGAAGAAAGCATATCAGGAGCCCAGGAGGGCATTTTGACTTGTGCTGAGAGAGGTAATGCTGTGCGTATTTCCAGAGTGTATCCTCAGAGAAGATCAGTGGGAGAAGGAGAGTGGCAAAGAGAATATTTGCAGGGACTAGAGAGATGGCTCAAGGGTTATCTGCTGATCCAGCTTTCTGGGACCCAATCTCCGGGACCCAGTCTCTGACCCGATCTCCGGGTCCCAGTCTCTGACCTGATCTCCGACTATTAAGAGAAGACTAGCATATTTATATACCATGGGGGTAGTGGTAAAAGCTTTTAGATACTTTGGAGATATTCTATTTACATGTGGAAGTGGGTTTCTGCTAGACTATTGTCCACCTGTAAAAACCACACACAGGAAGGCATGGTATGCATAGAGCCAAAGGCCATGTTTATGTCAAGGCATCTGTGGCGGCCACTTCAAAGGGAGAGACAGGAAAGATGCCAGAAAGCACCTTGCTATGAAAAGGAGCCCGCGGCACATTCCCCGAGCTGCATGAGCTGTCCGGTGTGAAGGGGCTTCGACTTTTGCATAACAGAGGTCTCCCAACATCTCAAGAGCACTGACTGCTCCTGCAGAGGACCTAGGTTCGATTTCCAGCACCCATATGGTAGCTAACAACTATTCATAACTCCAGTTCCAGGGGATCTGACACCCTCTTCTGATCACTGCAGGCATTGCATGACATGGGTACACTTACACAGAGGCAATACACTCATACACATAAAATAAAAAATAATAAATAAAATATTTTTAAAAATATAATACAGATTTAAGGTAACATTCTCTTTTAAATTTATTTTTATTTTATGTATGTGAATATATTGCCTACATGTATGTAAGTGCACCCTTGTTATGCAGTGCCCTTGGAGATCAGAAGAGGGCATCAGATCCCCTGGAACTGGAGTTATGAACAATTGTTAACTGCCATGTGGGTGCTGGAAATCCAACCCAGGTCCTCTGCAGGAGCAGTCAGTGCTCTTAACCCCTGAGCCATCTCTCCAGCCCCCCAATCTGTATTGTTTTATAATGCATAGTTGAAATTCTATTGGAGTCAGTTACCTTTTCCCTGTGAGGGGTGTGTGTGTGTGTGTATTGAGGCAGGGTCTAGCCCATGCTGTCTCCTGAGTGCTGGGATTATAGGTGTACTCTACCAAGCCTGTTCTCTCTCTCCTTAGACAATTTTGATAAGTACTTCTAGGCTGGCCTCAAAGTCTCCATCCTCCCGCCTACAATTACAGATGTGTGCCACTTCACCTGACTAAGGATGTTATTCTCAAGTTTTAATATGTAGCTCAGTGGCAGAGCACTTGCCTAGCATGTGCAAAGCCCTAGGTTTGATCCCCTGTACTAAAAAAAAGTTTTATTATTCTCATGATTTGCCTCCTAATGTCTCTGTTTGTTTTAATGTTAAAATTATGTAACCCTGGGCTGGGCTTGGTGGCACATGCCTTAATCCCAGTACTTGGGAGGCACGA